ACCGAATTAAACCAAATTTTAAAGTTGTGTCTTCCAAATTCCTTAAAAATGAACCCAGTATAAAATCCTCCCTAGGTCAGGTCCGCTTGCTGAAAGAGCCATGTCTTGAGGGCGCGACGGAAGGTAAGGAGATCCGGAATCATCCGAATCTCGGGGGGTAGTTCATTCCAGAGGGTAGGGGCACCCACAGAGAAGGCCCCTACCCTCTGGAATGAAGAAAAGAATTCTATATTATAGTATTCACAAACAGTTGCATTCTGGAATTTAGTTCTGCCCCAGTGGGTGCTGTTCAAATATGGTTTGAATTTCCACAATCCCCTTACATTTGATGAGAGGGTAGATTCCAAGGATAACTTTAACTTCTACTCAAAGCTATGTCAGAATTATAACCACAGCAGCACAGCAGTTTAAGGTTGATTTAGAGTTGCACGCAATTGCCTGTAACCATTGCCACATACCTACACTGCAAAGGGGTTGATGTGTAAGTTGCAGATGGTTGTAGAAATGAAAAGGCAAAACCCTCCCAAATCCTAACTATAGAGGGCATGCCCTACATGCTGATTGGTTGATCCAACTTCTTGTTCTGTGCTTTGCTGTTTGAGTGTCCCCTAGCCAGAACATTCAAATTCATAGCCATATGAATGCAACAGCTATGCAACTGCCTATGAATGACAGACACATATGTTCCTTCATATCTGCTTGACCCTTCAGAAGGGACAGAAGAGCTATTACTCATTGCTCATGTCACAGGTTACAAAATAGTTATTAGATTGTGGGACAAAATTACTGAATAGAATCTGGGAAGGTAAGAAGAGGAAGAAGATATGGTAAGGAGTAGTTTCTCCATTAAGAGATACTTTGGGAAGAAGATAGAAGAGGCAAAACAACTATTGGGCAATTCTTGCTGATTGATTGTAAGCATGGCGATGAGAAAATTAGTATTCTGAAGAGTAAAAGTACTAGAGAATGGTAATTGCATTCTCTCTTACACGGTGTCTATTAATCAGAACAAATAAGTGTGACAGAAGGATCAATTTCTCAAATCATAGCATTTTCCTTAAATGTTTTGTTGTTGTTGTTCATTTATCTTTGGCATGGCACAAAAAATATTTTAAGGTGGAATAGATGCATTGCATTTAACGAGAGCTGATCATTGATTTAAACCTTTTAAAAGTTTCATTTTAGGATTAGGTTGGAAGAGAGTTTTAAAAGCCTATCACCAAGATGTGGCATTTCATGAAGACTTGGAATGTTCCATGTCACTGCACTTTTTAAAAAAACTAATTTTATTTCCACATATTGAAACTATTAAAATATTTTCTGGAACACAGAAAAAACATTTAAACAACAAAACAGGTTTCCCAGCTGATTTGGGGCAACAGTTGGTAAAAATAAAAGCCAAAAAACAAACATTTTGTTATTATCTAGCATTTATATTAAAAGATGGTGGTTTAATAATTTTGGATATGTGGTGAACGTTGAGATGTTTACTGGCAATTCTTCAAAATTTAAGAGACTCAAGGGAAAATGTTGGAAAATACTGACACTATAAATAAATTTCAAAGCAGAGTGTCCTTATTAAATATTCAAATGTTCACCCTCAATTCCATGATTAACCCATGGACAATATTTATGGTAATTATTTACATATAAATGCAAACATAAGTATTTATTATAAAACATGTTGATATTTTTACTTGACATAATGACCATGAAACAGTGGCATTCACCTGGTGTCTGTCATGTACTTAACATATTTATGGGAACTTTCCCCTTGTAAAATAAGAATTCTTGGCAAGAGCAAAGGCACTATATAAAACATTGGAAAAGATTTCTCTTGACTGCGTTGTTCAAGTTTGTATTTTCCATGCAGTGCTACATGAGCCACAGGTGATGTGCAGACACATTAGAGATGGGACGCAACTCTCTTCCCCAAATCAAGAAGGGAGCCAAGAGAAAGAGATGAAGGGCAGAGCCACCCACCTCCAGCTGAGTGCTCTGCGGCTAAGAAACTAAACATCTCAACAGAAGCAGCAATGGAAAGGCTTAGGAATCAAAATAAAATAACATTTGTTGCTTTTTTTTTCTTCCATTACTTGAATGGAAGTTTAGTTTAGTTTGGTTTGGTTTGGTTTGGTTTGGTTAGGTTAGGTTAGGTTAGGTTAGGTTAAGTTAGGTTAGGTTAGGTTAGGTTAGGTTTTGTTTGGTTTTGTTTGGTTTTGTTTCATTTCATAAACCACAATAAGCTCTGTTTAACTCCAGTGATTCAGTGCCCTATAATAAACCAAATCAACAGCTTAAGCTTTTAGATAAAGCCCAGGTATTAACTGGCTATTTCTCAAAATGTTAGAATGACTAGTAGTTTCACCCAATGTTCAGAGTCATGCACCTTACCATTCCTCATCAATCTTACCATTTTTTTTCTGACAAAGGATGAGCCTGGAATCCACTTTTTAAAAGATGGAGGAAAGGGGATGCAGGGCAGGAACATAGCATAACTGCTGGAGCCTACAACAGGTTCCTTCAGTAGTGATCTGTAAGACTCAGTTTTAATTTCTTGAGGGATTGGAATAACACTTCATGGCCAAGTAGGTCTGTAAGAGTGCACTTTACCCAGGATTCCCTCAAACATGGAACTGGTTCTCAAATGGGAAATGATAACAGTGCTGCTCTCCCCCTGCAGAAAACTCTTCAATCTAAATTACACATGGAGCTTATTTCCTTGGAAATGAGAGCCGTAGAACTTTCCCCAAGGGCTGAGATGTGGTTAAGCAGTACTTGGAATGTCACTGTCTAAGTCAGGGATGTCAAACTGCCAGCCCGCGGGCCGGATGCATCATGCCGAAACTGCGAACACCCCATTGCCGGCAATGGAAAAAAAGTCGTGATACGTTGTGACATGTCACATGACGTTGCGAGTTTGACAACCCTGGTCTAAGTATATTAAAGGTCTATTACATAGATGACAATTAAGTTCTTTGACCAGTCTGGACCCCATTATGCATTTCTGAAATATATTTCCCACTTGTGCATAAAGTAATAAATAGCTTTTAGTAGAAATTTAGTAGAAAATCAATAATCCTTGATTATATTTTTCTTTTTGCTCAAATTTAGGAGGAAATGGAATAATGAAGAGCATTTAAATTAAAATAGTTCCAAAATTCAACTTTCTTTGATTAGAAAGTTTAAGACTTGGAACTTTAACCAACTTTGTGTTTTACTGTTAAATCAAAAAATATCTTTTTTTTTTCTTGTTCTTTGTAGGCTAAATTTATTATGGACATCAGAGAGTAACTCAGTGTAGTCCTGGCTCAAGTGTGGGCTGGTGATAAGATAAAGGCAATATTATGAGACATTGTTTGGCCTTTGTTTTATGGTCACGTGAGGAGAAGCACCAAATATCGCATTATCTGTATTAACGAGGGCAATCCTGTTATCTCCCATTTACAAAGTAGCAATTCTTCCACCTTGCTCAGAAAAGGAAGCAGTCAGATCTGTTTAGTAAATAGCTATTGGTTATGAATTTTCTCATTTTAAATAGCTGAGGTAAATAGCTATTAGAATAAATTCATCAGCACAGTGGAAAAAAGTTGCAATGACTGAAGTGAGGTTATAATATACACAAAGGTGAAAGATTCAACATTACCCACAATGGAGGAATGGATGTTGGAGATGATGGAACTTGCTGAGATGGCCAAATTGACAGCTTTGATTAATAAAATGACATTATCTAATTTTAATGCTGACTGGAAATCCCTTGTAGACTTTTTTATGTGAAACAGAAAAAAAAGAAACTATGATATATGGCTTTCATGATTAGATATAGAAAAATATAAGACACGCTGTCACCACAAGGTAAAAATTTATATTTATAACTGCTGTAAAGAAAATCAGAAGCTACTTCTTTATAACTTTTTTCTGTACTTTTGGCTTTTTCTTCTATTTTTTTCTTTTTTTCTTTTTTATTCTAAATATTAGCTTTGGTTAGTTTTTATCTTTAAAAAAGATAATAAAGTTGTATTTTTAAAAAAGAATAAATTAACAGCCATTTTAATTCCTTCTTTTTAATTCTTGGCTAACAAGTGATAGGAAGATTTTGTAGGAAATAGTGTCTTGATAGTTAATACTTTCACATAAGCCTACTATTACTTTTGGGGTTGTTGTTTTTTTTAAATGCTGAGCATTAGAGAACATTCTGGTAACTCCAAAGTAACATTAATGCATGCAATCTCATTAGCCTTGTTACTATTCTGAGGTAACCCTGATCCCAGAAAATTGAGGGGAAAATCTGATGTTGCAAGTTAAAGTGGGAAGATGACAAGTTAGACAGGAATGGAGTAGAATGAAATGGAGAGAGGAGAGAACCAATTAATGCTCCTTTAGAAAGATTTAGGTTATGTCCTATGTGGGGGATTTTTTGCCAACCAAGAAGAATATACCTATTAGGAACATCTATATCTGCTCAGTGGATGACGAAAATCAATGCCATTTCAATGAAAGAAGCATATGCCCTAATAAGATAACACAAAGCCATATCTATTGAGTTTCTGGTAAGTTGGAGTCCTTTGATTTCGCCTTATAATATAGTGTTTCTTTAAGAGGATTTTTGCACCAATTCCAAAGGAGGCCAAAGCAATTTATAATCATTTCTTTTTGTTTGTACTTGTAGTAAATATTAATGTTCCTGCATATACTGAACCATTTTCTTTTACTTTATTTAATTTTTTTCTAATGGATTTCATCGTCTCTGCAGGCTTCCTCATATGAAGTTTCATATATGGATATTGATTGCTTTAACAAACTGAGTAAATGTTAACTTTTTTGAACATTTGTACCCGGGATGGAAAAACACAGTCACATTGGTTGGGAGCTCATTTTTCTTTTGGGAAATAATCTATAAAGCCATTACAATAACATGTATAAGAATCCTGATTGGAGCCCCTGATGATATGTATAGAGGTCTGGGAATATGGATATATAATAATTTAATATACAAGCAATGGGAAATGTTTGCTATCTGAAGTAGAGAAACAGTAGGAGCATACACACTGATCCTTCAACCATCATGGTGCCTGCCTTCCAAAGTAAATCCAATTATTTTGGCCCCTGAGGTAGAAAATCTCACAATATTTCTCTTCGCCCCTTGCTGTAAAAACACACTTCTAAGAAATAAAAGAATAAATAATTTGCTTCCCTTTCATGACATCCCTATTCTGTTGCCAAAATCCCTACCTCACTCTTTCCATTAAACAATATTCTGGTTACTCTTACACAGTGGTTTGTGTTAGTTTTTACTATGCTTATTAAAAAATCAATAAAATTATTTTTTAAAAAGGAAATACATGGGCGATCTGTTTGATTTACTGAGGAACTTCATACAGTTTAAACACAAATATGGCTATTGGCCAAACAAATTTTTTTGTGAAGGTTATCATATCATTTTTTTCTTGCAACAATGTAAGGCAAGATATAACATTTAGTTCCTAATAAGTAGAGCCATTTCAGTCTTGATCAGAAGCTGAATAATAATCCATGTAGCTTTTATATCAAAGTTTTGGGTTAATTCCTAGTAATGAAAGACCCCGTTCTTAAACATGGAGTCACGTTGGGCAAGGAGAGATATACTGATTAATAAGGATCTACTCTTGATATTTGGCAATTTAACTTCAAAGATTTCTGCTCCCAATCTTTTTCAAAATTGCAAGCGAAGTTGTGGGTCATACTGATAACTGACCTTATAACAATCAAGTATCTCTGACAGTGTTTCTCACATAAAATAAAAAATATCTATTCTATTGCTGTACTTAAAAAAGGACTTTGTATTACTCTGCTGCGATATTTTAGACAATTGTACTAGAAAGCTTGATAAAGGAATGTGGAGATAATTTTCATGAAGGAATAGATGGGCCATTAACAAAGGAAAAATTATAAATCAGTCCTGAGAAAATTGAAAGTACAGGAAAGAACACAAAATAACCTGAATTAATTCTGTTTGGCATAAGATATAGTAGAGAGAGACTCTGGCAGACTTTCAGAATTCTGTTATTGTACCCTACAACAACAAAATACAATTTCTATAATTTTTGTGGTGTCTGTTTCCTAATTCTTAAAGGGTTAATATGTACCAAACTTCAGATGTAGATTTGTACTCATACATGCTGACTCATTTCGGAAGAAAGAGAGGGAAAGTACAGTAGTCATTGGCTCTGTGACCATTTTGCTTCCGGCTCTGTTTCAAATTTCAGCTTCTATTTTGCACTTATCTTTAGTTTATGGCCTTGGAGGTTCTAGTAAAAAAGCAAAATATCAAAGTACATAGCTCTCCAAGCTTGAAGTGTTCATTCCTGAAACAGGCAATATAAAGGTAAATAAATCCTTGATGTCAATTGATATAAAGAAGCATTCTATCAAATAGAGAAATGGTGATCTGCACTGTTGTACAGTCACATGGAAGGAAAATTACTATGTAAATGCTGAGACATAATTCCAATTACTTAAGAGCTTTGAATGTTTGGTACTTATTTTGTGCTGTCTTCTACATACGCATTTACAGGAGGTTGTTGGATACCGAGGATGAACTATCAGATATCCAATCAGATTCTGTTCCACTGGAAGTACGAGATTGGTTAGCATCTACCTTCACGAGGAAAATGGGGATGACAAAAAGGAGACCGGAGGAGAAACCAAAATTTCGAAGCATCGTGCATGCTGTACAAGCTGGGATCTTTGTGGAAAGGTGTGCCTTGTTCCTTTATTAATTATATGACAGCAGGTGGATGTGTTACCAACATCATTGTCCTGATGAAGAGCCTGAAGAAGCAAGAAATAATTATTTTACTTTGCAGAACTTTAAACTTGGTCTTCTTTTTCAAAACTGGTATTAAACAGCTAACCCACAGGATGCTAGCAGTCCTCAAATCTGAAAAAAAAATCTGGACTCAGATATCACACCTGGGGTGTTTTGATATCAAAATTAAAACTAAGCATATGAATATTTAACTATATAAATATCTTTGTGCAAGTGTTGTTGAGGAGAGACAGTTTTGTGTAGTGGTTAAGGCATCAAACTAGAAACCAGTAGACTGTGAATTTTGTGCCTGAAGCACAAAGTCAGCCAAGAGATCTTGGGTCAGTTACTCTCTCTCTCTCAGCCCGAGGAAAGAGACAATGGCAAACCACTTTGGAAACCTTACTAAGGTATCTGAAGGACTATCAACACTTACTTGAAGGCACCAAAAAAAAAGTCTTGTTGAACTTAGTGAGGAATACTTTATAAAAGTGCACTTTGTCTGTAATTGTCTTCAGACTCACGGGCATGTGCCATTGATTGCATAAATATGTACTATAATTCTCTTATGTCATCTTTTCCATTCTTCACAATGAAGAGAATAGTATGAGTTTTAAACGCAGTAAGATATTACTGGTTGGTGTTTTCAGGGAGTAAGAGAACAGAAAAATAGTAAAAAAAAAGTTTACTAAGCAAGCTGATCTAATATAATACTATACTGATTCTGTTATTTATGGATTTGTTCACTCATTTGTTTAATCCTCATTATAACTAATGTTTGAAAGGTCTGCAATGCTTGTGTATATGAAAACAATGTAATGTTCTGCTTAAATTATCAGTATCATCCTTTAGCAATAAGGTTCGGTTGAAAGAGGATTCATTCATTCATTGGTATAAATACAGAATAGATCTGAGATGACTTAACTGATTGACAGCAGGTTGAAAATCCATATATTTTGCTTTGAGGAAAACGGTCTTTCATGCAATCTTAAGAGTTCAATGCTTATTACATCTGCTTTCATGACACTTAATAGGAACTGCTCCCAGAAAACTGTGAGGTTCTGTAATAACTTATTTCATATTTCTTTCTTATAGAATGTATCGAAGAACGTCTAGTATGATTGGTTTGGCTTATCCAGCTGAAGTAATAGCATCCTTTAAGGTTAGTTCAGTTCAGCTGTTGTATGAAATACTGTACATTCAATCTCTCTCAATAGGTTTATTGGGAGAAATAGGAATCAGATTTTTTTCCCTTCCTGTATAAATTGCAATGGAAAACAATGTTCAAGTTATTAATCTTGTTTCATAAGAAAATAGTTATAACATTGGCATATCTATATTTACTTCGGTCTTGCTGTAAACACAGCTATTATTCTGCATATTTCTGAGGGCTATCTATCCATTTCATAATGGTTATAGTGAATTATCTGATTTCAGCTGATTCTAAATTGCTACAAACACAAACATGACTAATAGCCATCTCAGCAATGTGATTAATTCACATTAGATTTTCTTCAGTTATCATGTACCAGAATACCTGTTTGGACTATGAAAAGAAAGTAAAATGATTCTTGTTTGGATTATTCAAATCAAATCAAGAACAAAGGTAATAAAATAAATCCAAATAAAATACTATTATAAGAAGTTAGTTTCAAATCTAAATAATGGTGCTGCATAGCATACAAATGGTAGCACAAAATGGTCAACCAGAGGTTTTTTTCAAGGCCTTGTCTTTAAAAAAAAAGTAGTATTAAATAGAAATCACATTCGCTGTCTGGAAATTTCTTTAAGACAGGATATATAAGGGTCTGTATAGAATCCTTGTATAGGAAATAGCATATGGCTTAGACTTTTTATTAAACCACAACCATATGGATATAACCAAAGACTGATACGAGAGCCAGTTTGCTATGTTGGTTAAGGTACCAGACTAGAAACCAGGACACTGTGAGTTCTAGTTTCACCCATCTTAGTCATGAAAGCCAGTAGAGTGACTTTCAGTCAGTCACTCTCTTTCAGTTCAGCTCACCTCACAATGTTGCTGCTGTGGTGAAAATAGGAGAATGAAGGCATATTAGGTATGTTTATCACCTTGAGTTATTCAAAAAATCATAATAAAGGAAGGATAAAAATCTAATAAATAAAATAAGAGTATCCTTGAAACATCCAAAAAGGACTGCTGGGGGCAAAGAATCCAACCTGACTAATGTGAAGGCCTTAACGAAATTTCAGAATTGGAATAGATGATAAATAGAAGGCTGAAGTGAGCCTTTTTGGATGCAAATAATAAATATTGGGATGTGACACATTACTTCAGCTTATTTGGAGATCTGTCTTCCAAATTTCATTGCTTAAGGTGGTTCTAGCATTATCAAAACCTAGCAAGCACAGATTTTCCATGGAGAAGCCCAGCAATTGAATTTTAGCAAAGGGCTTTTTAAAGCCATGATGATGTAAAACAATCTCTAAATACCAAAGATGGCTAAATCTATAAGAAGTAGAATTAACTTTAGACAGAAGGTAAGAAGAAGAAGCCATTGTGCAGCATCCATCAAAATTATGCCTGTCTCTACACATAGGATGGCATTTTAAATACATTTTGGAATCATCGGTAGGCCTCTAATAAACTTACTTTGGATGGTTTCAATAATATTAAGCTTTGCAAAGCAGCCACTTTGGAAGCAACAAAGAAGCTGGGGGGCTATCTTAACTTGAAAGACCATGCAGACTGCAGGAACATCCATTATTTTGATGGATATTCCGGCAGCCAATTTACCTACTGAATGATAACATCTTACAATAGCTGTGGAAGTAAGCTGTGCAACATTTGTTAGATAAGAAAATCGAGCGTGCCAGGATAAGGAAGCAAGAAATCGCACTCCAAAGTATTTATAAGTGTGCACTTGTTCAACCGGAGTCCCATTTATTTTCCATTATTGACTTTCATGACAATGCTTGGCAAAAACTAAGACTTTGGTTTTCTGATAATTTATTGAGAGCATTTGTTCTATGCACAATAAAGCTAATGCCCTCAGTCAGTGGTGTCAAACTCAATTTCATTGAGGGCCACATCAGCATTGTGGTTGCCCTTGGGGGGCCGGGTGGGTGTGGCCAGGGTGGGTGCAGCCTACTGGGTAGGCGTGGATGGAGTGGGTGTGGCCTACTGGGTGGGCATGGCCAGGTCTACATCGTTCGTGTCAAGGGTACCTGTGGGGGCCTGGGAAGGAGTGGGATAGATCTGGCAGAAGGAGGTGGGACCGGGGCAAGCGCCAAGGCATGGTGCATTTCTTCATTCCTCACAAAGGGTGACACCTCCCCAGCATGCACCCAGGGGGTGGGGCCAACACAGCAGGGGCTGGTTCCTCGCTGTTTCTAGACGGTCTTGTGGAGCTAAGACTGAATGCATTTCAGCATAAACGGCCACCACAAAATTGTACATTGGCTCCTGGCTGGCCTGGGCCAGGGCCAAGGCAGCGGGGGCCGTTCCCTCACTGTTTCCAGGATGGCTTTGCGGGCCACATGAAACCACTTCGCGGGCCACATCTGGCCCCCGGGCCTTGTGTTTGACATGTCTGCCCTAAGTGCTTTTCTTATTCCCTCCTATGAAATAGACACAATAACAACAACATCGGCACACAGTAGCCTTGGCATTGCACAATCAGCCAGAGTGGATGGATGATGGGCTGAAACAGCAAGCATTTAAATTATTGGATTTAGATATAAATTGAAAGTAATGAAGCTAATACGCAACTTTGTCTTGCACGTCTGTATGTTAGGATTGCTTTAGATAAATGTCCCCAAGGGATACCTCTAATTTTCAGGATTAATCAAAATAGTTCTGTTTAACTACATTATAGTATATGACAATTCCCAAAAAGACTGTGATTGCAGTGCTTTTTCTTTTTAATTGCAAGGTCATTTAGACATTATTACAATGACAAGGCTTTTCTGAATTTGAAAGCTATTCCTTTAAGTGCTCGTTACTGTTATGATTAACATTCTGGATTAGAATCCATTTGCAGAGATGGAGGCCTATTGTGTTTCCACTGTTTCCTTCTCCGTTAACCAAAGTTTTGTCCAAGTGCAGATAGCTTCTGCACCAAAAACGCGGAGGGTTCTCAAATAGGCAACCCCCCCACAGGCCCTCTGAATAGCGATGAAGTGCTCTTCTGTGAGAACTGCTGCACACAGGCTACACATGTGGTTCAACACTGAGAAGAAGCTGAAAAACAGCAAGGGAGCCAGGCTCCCACAGAAATATAGCTGACCTCAGCATCACCTACTGCTAATCATCTTTACTCCCAGTGCTTTATATAGCTGAAACAGCATTGGCCATAAACAAGAGGGAGGTGCTATCTCCCTAGGAATAAAAGGCTAGGCGGGGAAGGAAAACGTTTTATGGCAGGTCCTACGTAGAGGGAAGGCAGGATCATCTTTTCTTCCGTGAAGCAAAAAAACTCAGTGAAGAATATCAAATAGAATATGGGTAAACCTTGACTTTGGACCACAATTTGGCCCAAAATTTCTGTTGTTAAGTGAGACGGTTGTTAAGTGAGTTTTGCCCCATTTTACGACCTTTCTTAACACAGTTGTTAAGCGAATCACTGCAGTTGTTAAGATAGTAACATGGTTGTTAAGTTGAAACTGGCTTCCCCATGGACTTAGCTTATGAGAAGGTCACAAAAGGGGATCACATAGCCTAGGACAAGGGTCTCCAACCCCCGGTCCATGGACCAGTACCGGGCCACAGCATGCCAGCAAACGGTCCACACAAACAAGCAAAGCCCCATCCGTGAGATGCAGGCAGCACACAAAATCACGCACTCTCTGGTCCGCGGAAAAACCTCTCTCCATGGAACCGGTCCCTGGTGCCCAACAGGTTGGGGATCTCTGGCCTAGGACACTGCAACCATCATAAATATAAACCAGTTGTCAAGCGTCTGAATTTTGATCACATGATCCTGGGGATGCTGCAACGGTTGTAAGTGTGAAAAACAGTCACAAGTCACTTTTTTCAGTGATGTCGTAACTTGGAACAGTCACTAAATGAGTGGCAGTAAGTCAGGGACCACCTGTGTAGTCAAGCTTAAGCATTTCTAGATTTTCAGCGGAAGATATTTTAATAGCCAGCGGAATGGTCCTGCTGGTTCTGCTGAACGCAAAAAAAATGTACCAAAATCATATCATCTAACTCTCTCTTGTGCATGTGTGCAACACATTAAGATTAGATGGGTGATGTATAATGCTCAAAAAGCACTTCATATAATCTAATAATATTTAAGCAAATTATAAAAGTGCCTGAAACGTATTATATTGGGGGGGGAGGAAGATCTGAAAATCCATAAACATCTTTCCCTTTCCTTATTTCTTTAGGATGTTGACAAATGGTCATTTGATGTATTTTCCTTAAATGAAGCAAGTGGAGGCCACAGCCTGAAATTCATGATGTATGAATTGTTTACCAGATATGATTTATTGAGCCGTTTCAAGGTGAGAAGCTTTTCCCTACAAATACATATTTAAAAGACAAAGCCCCCCCCCTTGTCTTTCTTACTTCCTGAGTAGCCTTGGTAAGTGGACATTCCCCACCTGTCCTCCCCCTGCCCTGCTCATATGCCTCTTTAGCAGATTCAAAGGCACATAGCAACCAATAAGAGAAAAGGAAGTCCATAATAGCAGTGGTGCGTCTTTGTAATAAATTCTCAAATGTGGAGATAGTTTAATATGCATTCCATTGGATTGCTTGCAATAGGTGGAATAATTTCTGAAACAATCAAATAGCGCAGAAAGAATGGTGAACCTGCTCCATTCGTGTTATGCTTCTGGGGTGACCTGCTAGAGTGAACTTGGGGAGTGTAGTCTTGCCTATGAATCATGTATCATGCAAGTTCATCTGCCATGAGAACAAAGGATCAAAATAGACACAAGTCGGCATCCAACATCTCCATGTGAGACAAAGCTAATGAATAAATCAGTTCTAAGCTTGTCGTGAAACAGAACCTGTCAAAGAGCAGCATCTAAAAATATTGCAGGCACTGAGTCTCCTTTCAGATGCTAAAGCCCAACGATGGGTCAGTGCCTTGAATAGGAAGCAACATATTAAAAGCAGAGGGTAGGAGACTGCACTTTCAAAAGCCAAAGGCCAAGACTTTAGACTGTAAAAATGATGGGGGTCCCCTCAATAGTTAATTCAAGTTAAGTTCTATAGGCTTTATCTTAGACAACAACACAAGATCAGCTCCGTAGTGTCTCCTCCATTCTTGTCAGGAAGATTATTTTTGTTGTTTTTGAAAGCCCAGCTAAGAACTGTTTGGCACTCTATAATGATTGCATAAAATCATGACTGGTTTATTTCTAGCTTGTTCCTTTCTGAAGGCTTGGGAAAAGATATGGTTCTCGGCCTGTTTGGTGTGCTTCAGGTTTAACCAACGGTATCGCTATATTTATTTGTTGATGATACAAGAGAAACATGACTTTTGGTATAATTTGGCCATTAGAGGAAGAAGAAAGGGACTACCTTTGCATCCAGATGACCAGACCAATCACCATAGTTCTTGTCTTCTTTGTCAGGAGACAAAGATAGAGATAATGTGAGAAAAAGATAGTGAGGTGATGTCAATGCTGCAAATACTGTATATTCTTGCTTTGACAATATGCAGAACTGTCTGATATTTTTATAGTTAAACCAGGCAACAGGGAAAAAGGGAGGAGAATAAGGATAGCCCGGGAAAAAGAAACCGGAAGTAAATCACATCTTCCAAGTTGATTGGAAGATGTGAACCATGACCCCAAAATAAGGGGGGGGGAAATGCTTAGGATGTATATGCGTAACGGAAGAGAAGCCAGACCTAAGCATTTCCACCATGCTGTACTGACGTCTCTGTAACCTTAATAAATGCTTTTAGGAAAAAATATGCCTGAAAGTCCTTTTAAGTGTTTCGTTAATCAGACACATGACAGGTGACTCACTTCAGTTTAGCATAAGTGAGTGATAGAACTTGGCCATTTGGAACTGGAAGCATTCAGATTCCTGTGTTATATCAGGGAACTTGCAAAAAGTTGACTTCAGACAATTCATTTACTTTTCTTCTTTTTCTGGTGACATTTGGAGGCTGGAATGGCAAAAGTAATTATGCATGAAATCATGGAGACTTTTATACCTGCGTACCTTGTAGACATGTTGCTCTTGGAGATTTTCCTCCTCCTCCTCCTCCTCCTCCTCCTCTTTTTTCTTCATTTTGGGGTTTTGCTTTTTGACTCTTTCAGATTCCTGTTCCAAGTCTTATTTCATTTGGAGAAGCTTTGGAAATTGGCTACAGCAAGTATAGAAATCCTTACCACAACTTGATCCATGCAGCTGATGTTACCCACACTGTACATTGCATCATGCTTCTCACTGGGATCATGGTAAGGGCAAAAGCTACAGTGCTGGGGTTCCTTTCTCTGAATATTGTTAAGAATCTGATAAATAACTTGTGTAAGAGTAAGTTATAATTTTCTTCATGTTCTCTTGAGGAAACTCAGGATTATGTGAAATGTTGAATCTTAGTTGGCAGAGATGAACTATTTGTATTACAGATGATGGGGTTTTGTTTTTTCTTGATTAGCACTGGTTAACTGAACTGGAAATATTAGCCATGATTTTTGCAGCTGCAGTTCATGACTATGAACATACTGGGACTACAAACAATTTCCACATTCAGACCAGGTAAGCATGATGCTTCTTACTTACAACCAAATTCTGATCTGGGAGCAGTCTCCAAAATGTTGGATTTAGAGAAGATTTGCAGGTGATGCATACTTACACTAATAATGCCAACAGCACACTGCACAAGATTCTATTATAATCATTGCTGAGTTTTAAGAAGACAAAAGGAGTACCGAGTGAAAGCAAGAAGAGAAAAGAGACAACGTAAATTGAGAGAATTAGTTATTAGGTTCTTCAGATTTGCACAGTGCACAAAGAGAACAATTCTGGGTTTCTGAATGGAGTTGTCTATCTCACTTAAGAATGGCTTTTCAAATTTAGAGAATCATATTTTTTTCACATCGTTAGATTCCACCATCTTTCCCAAGGCCCACACAGCATAGGCTAACATAGGCTAGACCAGGGATAGGCAACCTTGGCTCTTTTATGACTTGTGGACTTCAACTCCCAGAATTCCTGAGCCAGCCATTCCATTCCAGGAATTCTGGGAGTTGAAGTCCACGAGTCATAAAAGAGCTAAGGTTGTCTACCCCTGGGCTAGGCCAAGAGAATGTGACTACAGGTAGTCCTCAGCTTATGACCATAACTGAGTCCAAAAATTTTGTTATTAAGTGACACATTTTTAAGCGAGTTTTGCCCCATTTTACAACCTTTCTTGCCACAGTTCTTAATTGAACCACTGCAGTTGATAAGTTAGTAACCCGGTTGTTAAGTGAATCTGGCTTCCCCATTGACTTTGCTTGTCAGAAGGTCGCAAAAGGGAATAATCACATGACCTTGGGACACAGCAATGGTCATAAGTATGAACCAGTTACAAAGCCTCTGAATTTTGATCACATGATCATGGGGATGCTTCAAAGGCTGTAACTGTGAAAAATGGTCATGAGTCACTTTTTTCACTGCTGTTGTAACTTTGAACAGTCACTAAGTGAACTGTTGTAAGTTCAAGGACTACCTGTAATCCAGAGACTCACTATAACAGGGGTCTTCAAACTTGGCCCTTTTATGACTTGTGAATTCGACTCCCAGAATTCCTCAGCCAAGCACGCTGGCTGAGGAATTCTGGGAGTCGAAGTCCATAAGTCATAAAAGGACCAGGTTTGAAGACCCCTGCACTATAAGCTTCAAGGTGAGCAGGGATTTAAATCCAGATCTTTCTAATTAAAGTTCATCATGTCAAACTGGTTCAGTAGACCTTTTTCCTATCACGGTGAGACAGAATGTAGTCAGAGTGACTCCCTCCTGTGTTTTTTCAGTTCCTATTATTTCAAGCAATTTGTTTAATAGGAAGAAAGAGGGATTCTCAGATTTATATGTAATGAATACATCATTGGGGTGGGTGAGGTAGGATATTGATAATGCTATGGCTTTTTATATCGTGGCAACGAAAACTGGATGCAATATTCCAAGTGTGGCTTTACCAAGGCATTATAAAGTTAGCTATTAACAAAACAAACTGACCTATTGGCTAAACTGGTTTGGGCTGGGATTCATTGGGATTTAACATCTGAGATATCACTGGTTTCCTACACTTTTTTTTATACAGTCACCAGAACATTTGTAAAGAAATTGACATTCCGTTGCACTAAAGACCTATTAACTTTGTCATGGGATCTGATAGTTCTACTACTATATATCATGTAACAGTCTTTCTGTCTATATCAGGGGTAGGCAACCTTGGCTCTTTTATGACTCGTGGACTTCAACTCCCAGAATTCCTGAGCCAGCCAGGCTGGCTCAGGAATTCTGGGAGTTGAAGTCCACGAGTCATAAAAGAGCCAAGGTTGCCTACCCCTGGTCTATACAGTCATTGCCTGCCTCTCCTAGAGAGAGGACTGAATTTTTCCCATCCATCACATTGCCTGGCCATTATTCTCTTTAGTGTTAACCACACACATTAGTCAGGGAATTAAACCAATCTGTTTTTCCAGTATCGTATCTGCTTTCCAGGCAAAATCTCAATGAAAATTTTACATCCCCTGGAGTAATTCAAAGCTCAAGCCCTTTTCTACTTGGATCTAAAATGCATTGACTTTGTGTGCTATGAAAGCAGAAAAACTCTCTTTCCATTCAGAGTTCCATGGCAAAGTTAAATCAGAGTACGCTGCAAGTTTCTGACTGCTCTGATATTTCCCATGTTTCTATGTCCTGATTCTCAGGGCTGGAGAGGCAGAGCCTCTGAATCTGCATCATTTTGGACAAAATTAAGGAGTGGTAATTTTGAGTGCTCTTGTGACTATTTAGTGTTCTGCAACTTTTATCTCTTTCTTTCTCTCCCTCCTATATAAAATACGTAAAGCTAAACAAGAATCAGAAAAACAGAAAGGGACAGAGAGAAGGAGCAGATATGACAGAATCATCATGGATTGGCCAGGAAATAATGTACAAGGGAGAATTTTATGACTTTGAAGGAATAATAAAATCACTTTTTGGTTTTATCATTTCTGTTTATTGCATGTTTGGACCATACCTCTACGTTTACAAAGTATCTAATTTTTAACACTTCCGCTGCCTGTGATATTATGGACCTCTGCAAAAGTAGATTCAATCTAATGTTTTTATTAGGGGATATGGTCCTATTCTCTGAGCTTGTTTGTTTTCTTGCAGATGTTTCATTACCCTAACTAGGTAACATCATCAGTGCTAAGTCACTAGCATTGATCACTAGCACTGGTGATGTTACCTAGTTAGGGTAATGAAACGTCTGCAAGAAAACAAGCAAGCTCAGAGAGCACCAAGGACCTGCTTATTTCAAACCCTGAGCTACAAATATTCTCCCTCATTGATGGTCCTATTCACCTATGTATTTGAATGAAAATGGAAGAAAGAAATAATACCATTTTGCCACCTACAATAATAGCTTCATTATAATGTAGAAGCCCTACAGGCAGCAGAGTTTGTAGTCTCACATCCAGCTGGCAAAGTTTTCATTTGGTTTCATTTCAACCAACCATATCTCCACTTACTAAGAGAACAGATGGATAAAACCCTAGTCAGGCTGTGAACTTTCTGGCTTATTAGTTCCCTCTCTGTATTTAGGTCAGATGTTGCCATTCTGTACAATGATCGCTCTGTTCTCGAAAACCACCATATTAGTGCTGCTTATAAGATTATGCAGGAAGAGGAAATGAATATTCTGGTGAATCTAACAAAAGATGAATGGAGGTAAGATTGAAATCCTGATTAAGAACATCATTCATTCATCATTCATAACAGAAATCTAGTGCTTATTGACTGAGCACTATGTCTTTATTAAAGCATGATATTTTATCTTCTAATGTTGATGATCTGCATCATGTGAATGTTTTTAAATCCCTTTGAGTGCTGTTTTTCAATAAATGAGTTACTCAGATGAGGTGAGAGCCAATAAAAACATGTTCAATATTGTCTGGGATATAGTATTGGTTTGATTGGTTTGCCATTGTAGAAAGCTAGCCTGTCTGGTTAGCAAGGGCTGAAGAGGAGGTCAAGCCATCACAATCACCTCTCTCAAAATCCCAATATGATTTGAGATTTGATTTGATCTGGTTTGATTAGACAGAGACATGAAATTCAGTATCCTAAACCTGTGGCAGCAGTGGTTAATGACTTTGGGCCAGTGAGGGACACTAATATCCTGGTTTCAGCATGCAAACACTGGAGTAGCAACTTTATTTTCAGGAAGAAAACTGACACTCAGTAGTTTAGCATTGTGGGTAAACATTATTAAGGACTCTATTATGAAACACATTTGAGGTCATTGGAATCTGTGATAGTTGTACAATAATGCCAAGGTTTTCCAATTTTAAACTATGCACTAGATGCATCCTAATGCACTGGACATTGTAGTACGAGAGTTAGTCTAGGGAAACTAGACTTGTAGGAGTCATATTAGTCTACTGTGACAAAAAAAATCAGGAATCTGGTAGCACCTTTTCCAACTAATACATTTCATTATTTTATTTTTGTTTAAAAAAATAGATATTTATTAAAATAAATTAATAAAAATAGTTAATCAGAAAAGTTGCTCCCAGGTTCTGGATTTTGATAACAGCTTTTAGGACTAATAAATTCTTTATTTTTCTCTTACAAGTTCTACTGCCTGAATTCTAGTCTTTAACTAAAGTACCAGTCCAGCTGGTAACCTTGAGCTAATTATATGCGCTCTCTCAGCCCTGAGAAGAAGACAGCAAGGGCAAACCACTCCCAAAATCTTGCCCCAAAACAATTTCAGGGAGTTGCCAGAAGTCAACACTGACTAAAAGGGACGTAAAGAAAACCCCTTACTTGTAAGGCATAAACCTTCATATGTTCATGCTCACTTCATCAGATACATGATCTGTCTTGACTGAGGTGCAATTATAATGCATAGAGAGGGGAAGAGGAAGAACAAGAAAAAAAATAAGGTAGTGAAGGTTTAGCTAGAACAATTATTTATTTATTTATTTATTTATCCATTCATTTGTTCATTCATCCATTCATTCAAATTTATTATAGCTGTCCAACACCGATGGACCCTGGGTGGTACGCAAAATTTAAAATGTAATCCAGACAAAATCATCTTTCCTGAAATGACCATTAATTTGCTTCTCAGGAGCTCATAAAGTGACATAACCATGATAATTACCTCAATGGTATTCTTTTTGGTTGAACGTTTATAGTAAAACTGAAAAAATACACAATGTTTCAATTAATGCTGATGTGACTTTATTGTTCATTTGCCCCCAAAGCATGTAAAATGATGTAGCACAAGACATTCATTATTTTATTGTAACTGTTATCTGCTAAATTTACTTCAGATGTAAAGGGGAAATTTCCATCCAGACAGACCCCAGAATAACAGACAAATCCATTGCATCCAAAGATGTCTGGATGAAGCATTTAAAATAACATTAATTTTACTTTATTTGCACCAATTTAAATTGTTTACATAACAAGATCATGAATTTCATCTTTTTTAATGAGATTTATGTAAATAATGCAAATGAAATCATTTACACATAATTCATGTAAATCTGTCATTACACAAATGATATAAATAATTACAGGGAAGGAAGTTTGCATTTAAAGAGTGCTCAGGAGGAACAGAATCTCCTTCTCTGCATCTTTTTTTGAATCAATGATATCTAAAGTACAGGAAATTGTTTGGCTGAAAATTTAAAACAGTAGATGAGAAACTAAGACACTTTAAATGTGGATGCTTATACAAATTTAATCTCCACATTTTAGTTATGTCAACAAAACAATTCCCATATCTGCACAAATCACTTTTCCATCTCTTTTATTCTGCCAGATTAAAAAAAATACTCTCAGAAGTTTATATCATGAAAACTAAACAGAATTTAAACATAATTTAAAACAGTAATAGAAATAATAAATATGGATGTTAAAATGGGATTTTTCTCCTTAAAATAACAAATGGATTTATAAGTGCATTTTTCCCTGTAGTATCTGTCTTCTGTTTATTATGATGATGAGTTTGTCATTACAATGTAGTTAAATGTGAGTTTAAAGAAATAAAATTGATTTGATTTTTCTATGAAAAATGCATTTTTCTGTAAACAATTCATTTTAAATGCACTTTTCAGCCAACAGCTGCACATAATCTGGAGAGTTGCACAGTTTGAAAAATGATGACATTTAATCCCATGTATTTACATGACAACCATGAATGAGTTCAGTTCATTGAAAAAGGCAGAGCCATTGAAATTCTCCCAACATCCCCAATGAATGCCAAAGCATATTCAACTGCAGCCTCTCATTATAGCTAACTGCAATTCCTAAGGGTTCAAGCAGATCATCTGCAAAAAAAATTGCATTTAGTGTAGAGAGGATAGAGATTATAAATGGGATGTTTGGATTAAGAGAAATTATTTGGTTACAATATTCCAAAGGATTTCATTTCATCCTATCCTCCATTTCAACACCTCTCTCTCTCTCTCTCTCTGCCAAAACTTCATCCATAAATTACTGTAGCTGCACACAGGCATTTAGGAATAGCAATCTTTTTAATTCACTAATTTTTTACATTGATTCAGAAGTCCATCCGTTTTCCAGCAGAGAGCTTGCTTAAAGACTCCCTGCTTAACAGTGCTTAAATGTCACCATGAATTAAAAGTAGATTTTGTGCCGACCTTATTCAAAGGGGGATTTTAAAAACAGAAAATCTCAGGAGTAAACTGAGATTTTAGATAGGGAGGGAGATTCAGGCTGCTCTGGCTCAAAGGAGCATAATCATGAGATGATTTATTTTTTTTTGCAACAGGTGCTAGAATATGTTGATATGCTGTTTTACCAACCCCTTCCTCTCCCTAATACACACCACCACTACCATTAGCTACAACAACAATTACAAATAAGTGAGAGAGGATAACCTTTTGGGTTTTTTCCTAGAGATTTGTGGCTGGAAGTAGAGAGATAGCCATTACTAGATCTCATTTACCAATGTTATTTGGTTACGTTGCACTTCCTTTCCCTCTCAAAATGTATAGAAAAAAATGAGCTTGCAAAAATGTTCCTGAACATACATGGTCCTAGAATATACTAAAATCAAACCACTTCATAATACTTACTGACAAGCTCAGGCATTCACATATGCAAAATAACATAAGCGAGTATAAAATAACCCAAAACTTATAATCATAAATAGCAATAGGATTTAGACTTATATACCGCTTCACAGTGCTTTACAGCCCTCTCTAAGCAGTTTACAGAGTCAGCATATTTCCACCAACAATCTGGGTCCTCATTTTACCGACCTCGGAAGGATAAAAGGCTGAGTCAATTTTGAGCCGGTCAGGATCAAACTCCTGGCAGTAGGCAGAGTCAGCCTGCAATACTGCATTCTAACCACTGCGTCACCAACCAAACATCCTAGGACCTAGACATTTAATTGAAAGGAGATTGCCCATTACTAATCAATGACAAATGTTAGAATACATGCTTCCCTGTTTCCATAGAAAATATTTCCTTTCCAAAATAAGATTGACAAATCAAGGTGTTTGGGGAAGATTGTCCTAAATGATATACACAGAGAGAGTACCATGTAAACACATTTCTGCCACAAATGTGGTTGCTGTACTCTTTCATCCACTACCTCTATCGCCTTACAGAGATCTTTTCTGACAGGGAACCCTTTATGGTAGGGCAGCTGTCCCCAACCTTTTTGACTTGGTAGACCAGCGGGAGGGGGTAGAGGGGATGGTTCCATGGGATGGTTCCATGTGTGGCGGTGCGTGCTCCCACTTGAACAAATGCAGCTTCACGCACCTGCCCACACACCCGCCACTTGCATGGCCACGGCCTGGGAGTTGGGGACCCCTGCAGTAGGGTATCTTTTGGAAGGGGGCCTCTTTTTACATAATTACATAATTAATGTAAGTCCAATTATTTTCTGTCTAGAGGTTGTTGTTTTCTATAGGGTGGTAGTGTTATTGTGTTACTGGAACAGGCCTAAAAATTGAGGTCCATTCTCTTTCATTTGGAGGGAAGGTGAGATTTTGTCCTTTCTTCTTGTTGGAAATTTAACAGAACCAATTTCAGACCACAAAAGTGGGCTAGAAGTGGACGATGAAACACAGACTGCCCATTTCAGACCTGTTGGTTGCTTCTGTCTATGATTTCCAGTGAGATGTTTAGATACTGATGGCAGAATTATAACCATGTGTAAGTCTGCTCACTGCCAAGAGAGCCACCCCCACCCCCAATTGTACTTAAATCTCTGGTCATGATTTTGAAATAAAATTGCAGTAAAAATATAGATAATAGTAATATTAAAGTTATGATTTTAAAGCTGATTAGCACAAAACTGCAGGTCATAGTTCATTGTTTCACGTAATTTTATCTCTAATGTTGTCTTTGCTTCTAAGAATCAACTGAATCAAAGCAGTACAATCCACGTGCCTCAGTACAAAATTAACACCATTGTAATCATTTTGATTGCCCACAGGGAGCTGCGCAACCTGGTTATTGAGATGGTTTTATCTACTGATATGTCTGGGCATTTCCAGCAAATCAAGACAATGAGGCACACTCTTCAGCAAACAGAAGGGTAAGTGGCATCCTTTCATCCTTCCTTCTGTAGCCGCAGGCTGGGTACTTTAAATGGCGCCCCCAATCTGGAGCAAGGCTTATCTTTGCAGAAAGATAATGGAGAAATGTCTTTAAATGGACAGGATAGACAAAGCCCGAGCCATGGCCTTGATCCTCCATGCTGCTGACATCAGCCATCCATCAAAATTGTGGGATCTGCACTACCGATGGACAAAGGCCCTGATGGAAGAATTTTTTCGACAGGTACTTCTCTCCAGTGCATTTATAAACATTTCACAAGCCATGACAGATAGCAATAGCACTTAGACTTGTATACTGCTTCATAGTGCTTTACAGCACTCTGAAAGCGGTTTATGGAGTCAGCATATTTCCCCCAACAATCTGGGTCCTAAAAATTTTACCAGCCTTGGAAGGATGGAAGGCTGAGTCAACCTTGAGCTGGTCAAGATCGAACTGCTGGCAGTCAGCAGAATTAGCCTGCAATACTGCATTCTCACCACCACACCACGCCATAGTGGTTAGGATCAGCCATTTTCTTTCTTAACTGTTTTTTACTCCAGTCTTTTAATTGTTAATTTAAAATGTAAGTAATGTCCTGTATAACTTCAACATAAATTATTGAAACCATTTAAAAAAAAAGAATAAAATACAGGAGCAAACGACAGTCCAAACCTGGACATTCAGTGTGAAAGAGTTCTTTTCCAAGCATCTGAAAGTTGACATATGAGGATCAGGAAGGCATGGGGGCTTCTCTGATTGACAAGACCCTCTTCCACCCATCTCCCATGTGGTGATACATATCTGGAGAAGGGCTTTGCAAGGATGCATGAAGAAAAATAAATCCCTTTGAACTGTTTTCTACAGTGGTTGTACTGACACTCAGTTTCTAAGAAATGGGTGGGATTTTTGGAGGTGCCAAAAGAAACCCTTTAGATGTTTTGTTTGTCCCAAAGTAATCAAACTGAACCCTTTCTTTTATTTTGGAACAGTGCGTGTTATTTTTCTAATCCAGCACAGTGAGGTTACAAAGGGCGCAGATATACCAATCGTTATAAATCAGGAATTAGTATTGCTCATACATGTCACCTTTTCCATTCGCTTGTGCACTTGGTTTAATAATTAAGCATAGTTTCCTTCAGGCAAAATTCCCAATTAAATGCAAAATTACTGTGTAGTGCAGCTTTCTGGTGCTTTCTAGGAGAACTGGAATTGTAATTCCCAGAATGTCCAACAAGCATAGCTATAAAGTTTGGAAGACCCCAAGTTTGGAAAGCTAATTAATTATTAAATTTCAGGACTGGATAAACCAGGACTGGAAATATAAATCAAATTATAATTTTAAAATATGGTAACTAAACGGCCGGGACATCACTGTTAAGAGAAAACAGATTTTTAAAATTTATTGTTATTGCTTTTAAAATAATGACAGAAAAAGAAAAGGAACAAAACACTAAAATAATGCAAATACATACAATCTTAAATAAATAGCACTTAAAAAGTGAAAAAAAACAACAACAGAAAAAAAGAAACTAAGTATACTACATCATTGTAACAGTTAACAGTTACAATTCTGTATATACAGTACTTATTGAATGTAAATATAATTCAAGCACATAAATATTTATTTCTAATACTTTTATATAACTATTCTTCTTCTACTATACTATATATTGTATATACTATGTTTTATATAAATGAATACCATATTTCATTACACTGGCCCATACCAAGTCCACCTTATAAACAATCTGCATAAATATAATCAGGTCTTCAATTCATGTGTTATTTTTCCAATGCTGTAGTAAGCTCACAGAGTATCCATTTACCTTGTCCAGAAGTTGATAGAACACAAAACAAAACAAAATCTCAGTTGACATACTGAAGAGAATGCATTGAAGAACATATATAGCACCAGACCTTAGTAATCAAGAGGTTCCTTCAGTCACTATGACAGGTACAGCTTAAGTGTTCTACTGCAAGCAGTGAGAAAGGGACAGGCTTCCTTGCCAATTTGTGTATCTTTTATTTCTCACCCAGGGTTGTCTGGCTTTTAAATACTTTGGGACATATATAGTTGTAATCACTGAATGCTCAAACTTACTTTCACTTTCACTTCACTTTCACTTACTTTTAATCGTATGTTGAGAATCAGTATGTTTTCTTTCCCCAACTTTAGGGAGATAAAGAGGCAGAGCTGGGGCTACCATTCTCTCCTCTCTGTGACCGGAAATCCACCATGGTGGCACAGTCCCAAATAGGTAAGGGTTGGGTTTGTTTGTTTGTTTGTTTTAAAAAAGTATTACAATGAAAGGAAGAAATGCTTGATAGAACAGGACTGGCTTGTTAGGCAATTCTGCCTCCAACTATTTTTCAATATGCATTACTCGTGGAGAATAGCATCCCTGGAAAGATTAGATAGAGGACTGATAGTGTAGTATTTTGGGATCCCAACATGTTTTTCAATTCTTGGCACAACTACTGGTGTAGATGTGAAAGGGTTTCACAGTGTACTTTTCTCATTCACAAGTGATTGTCAGTGCCCCCTCTTAGTTCATTTTTATGGCACTGACTTAGACTCTGTCTAATAATATAATATAATATAATATAATATAATATAATATAATATAATATAATATAATATAATATAATATAATATAATATAATATAATATAATATAATATAATATAATATAATATAATATAATATAATATAATAATATAATATAATAATATAATATAATATAATATAATATAATATAATATAATATAATATAATAATAATATAATATAATATAATATAATATAATATAATATAATATAATATAATATAATATAATATAATATAATATAATATAATATAATATAATATAATATAATATAATATAATATAATATAATATAATATAATCTATATAAATAAAAATGTAAATGTTTGTTTGTTCAAAATTTTAAATCTCCAAAAGTTCTTCACCGATTGCTTTGAAATTTTGACACAACGTTGCATTCGAATACACGCATATATACCTAATATTATATAGATGTCACACCTGTGACAGGTAAAAACATGCTTTTTTGAAAAACAGCGCCATCTGTTGGCTGAGTGAACGAGAGCCACAGCAACGCGTGGCCAGGTACAGCTAATGTAATGTAATGTAATGTAATGTAATGTAATGTAATGTAATATAATGTAATATAATATAATATAATATAATATAATATAATATAATATAATATAATATAATATAATATAATATAATATAATATAATATAATATAATATAATACAACATAACACAATATATAATAGTTATATTACCCAGCTCTCAGTCATAGCTATATGGGCAAAGCAGTGATGTGAGAGAAGGAAATTTTGCAAATGTATAAATATTGTGGCTTAATGCTGGTTCACAAAAGAGTGCGGCTTCCTGCCCTATAAAAAAGCTGTTTCATGAGCCACTTTTCTCCATAGCCTTTTCTAGCTTTTGTTCTTGTAGGGAGGATACACACCAAGTCACAAAACAAAGACAAATAAACCAGAGAGCAGAACTTCATTCTTCATTCTTCCCAACACATTTTGGCAAATACATTATCAATCCTTAATACATATGAAGAAACTAACAAATAATGGCTGGATCCAATCTGAGGGGGTCCTCGGCATCAGAGGTTCAGTCTTTCAAACTTTCGGATTCGTGGTGGAGCCCATTCTCAGGGAAGCTCTCTCTCTCACCCACTCTCAGAATGGGTCTCACCTTCTGGCGGGAGAGAATTTCCCTGAGGCTGGGTTCCAGCACGTCCAAAAGCTCAGAAGACTAAACCTCTGATCCCGGGGACCGACCCAGATTGGATCCTGCAACATTATCCTGGGACACATATATTGGCCTTCATTCATAACAAATAATTGCTTGTTTTTGTCCAGAATGGTATAGGGTCTCCTGCTTGAGCAGGGGGTTGGACTAGACGACCTCCAAAGTCCCTTCCAAATTTATTATTCTGTTATTCTGTTAAACAAGAGTTTACATTAGCATAAATGCATTTATTGTATTAAAGGCATTGTGTTGGTACTATAATACCCCCTTTCTAGATGAAGAAAACATTTTCCATCAGTTTCCTAATAGTCCTCCATAAGAATTGTTTTCAAGGTAGCGTGTTCCTTTTTGAATTGATCCATAAAATGTTTGATTATTTCTGGACCAGGGTGTACCCCCCATGGTTTGGTTCTGTGATATATTTGCACAGAATAGGGCTGTGGATGCTTCAAAAACAACACATAAAAAGTGTTTCAGATGTCACAGGAGTGCAGCACTCCCCTGCTCCCTATCAATGTGCAACGATATATTTAATGGAACATTTATTTAGCATGATGCAATGACCTTGGAAGACAAGAGGAAGAGATGTTGCCTAAGGAACAATCAGATAAGAAAGGGCAGAGCCCACAGTTGCATAACAGACAGATACTCAGGAAACTATAATAGGCTGTTAAAAAAAAGACCCGCCTATCTGTATGTGTACTATTAGACTTGCAAGATTCTGTTAATGTAGCATTAATTAACACATCAGGCTGTGTTTCGTGTCTGGGCTACCTTGGGGAGCTGACACATATCAAGAGGATGTAAAATCCGTTACCATTCTATGTTGAATTCAGTTTTTGTTTTTTGTTTTTTGCTTGTTCAGCACTTGGTGGAACATACTGTAGTGCTTTGACAAGTGTTTTCTTTTAAATAAAATGAAGACCAGACAAGAAACACAACAGCATTGTTCAGTATTGCCACCTCAGAGCTGTGGGCTGAATTCTGTCTCCAAGGATTATTACTTGTTTCATTCACTGATCTGACAGAATGTTGCCAACATGTTGTCAAATCGCACCAGCAACACATAGCAAAGAGTCATTTCAAATATAAATTCAGTCACACAAAGGTTCAGTTCCTCAAGCCGAAATTATCTGAATTCATTTCCGTCACCTTCCAGGCTTAAGAATCAGCATAAAGATAGCACTGAAGGCACTTACTGAGGATTTCTGGTGGCAACAGGATAGAACAGGGGTCTTCAAACTTGGCCCTTTTATGACTTGTGGACTTCAACTCCCAGAATTCCTCAGCCTTCTACCTCTCAATGGTTTTCCATAGAATCAAACTTCTGAGCCATCTCCAATAATTTAGGAGGGGGAGGAGATTATATTGCAATGGTTCTCCTCCTTGCCGAAGAGATGGATTTAGTCGTTTGTTGCAGGGGAGGACAGCTCAAGCCCTAGGCACCATAATTGGGCCATACCTCATGGGTCTACATATTCCCTACTACTATTCAACATCTACATGAAGCTGTTGGATGAGATTGTTGGGGTCTCTGGCTGAAGATACCTAACTGGATATCTTGATCCTGGCTCAGTGATGCTACTGAAGTGCTATACAGGTGCTTAAAAGCTGACTGGATGGGGAGGAACAGGTTGAAACTCAGTTGCAGGAAGACAGCATGGCTCTGAGTTCAAAGGGTAGCTATTTTCAGTGAGATACTATCATTAGGCAACAGGATTTCATGTTTAATGTGAGCCAGTGTGCTCACAGTAAAAAATGACAATAAAGGTTATCTTATCTTATTACTTTAAATAGGGTTGCATTCCACCACCCCCCCCAGATGGATTTGGTTGCAGTTTGGAGGACTTCTTAGATTTACAACTCCTGCTTGAACAGCTGACAGATGTGGCTAAGAGGGTCTTTGCTCAGTTCCATCTATTCCTGAAATGGCAGGCATTACTCACTGTCACTCATGCCTTTGTCACTGCTTGATTGATGACTATTGTAATGCAGTCTGTGTAGGGTTGAATTCACAGTCACTTGAGGTGGGTGCTCCCTGAGGCACTCACATAACAACACCTTTACTCCAAGAGCTGCACTATTTCCACTTGGTGTGCAGGTGCAATTCAAGGTGCTGGTTGTCCCTTTCAATCCCTTCAGGAGTCTGAGGCACGCGTATTTGCAGAACCATCTTCTCTCAATAAGATCCAACTTGGTTTGCTAGGTATCTGTCAGAACTACAAGATTAGCAAGATTGTGAAACAAAAAAAGCCAGGATTTCAATTTTTTTTTTAAAAAAAATTTTTATTGTAGGTATTGTAGTGTCATCTTGAAAGCTTGTCAAAAAAAAATTTCTACCACATTTTGTGCCAAAGATAATCAAGGCAGGGCTCTTTTGAGTTTCTTTCTCATGTTTTCCTCCTTCTCGTGACTGACAAATCTTTTCTCAACTCTGAATGGTTCATTGTTCCCCTCTCAAGATGGACTACAGTTATTTCATATCTTTCCCTCAGTTAGAAGTTGTCATCTTTTAGGGCAGTGGCTCCCAATCTTTTCTATACCCTGCACCCCTAGAACGCTTCTGCTATATTCTCGCACCCCTTACAAAAGTTCGAAATAACAGCAACGAATTATGCATATACACTATAATTTTGAAAAGCCAAGCTTCCGCACCCCTTGGACTATCGTCTCACACCCCCGATTAGGAGCCCCTGTTTTAGGGCCATGGAAACATGCCTTTCCAACTGCCACCTCCTTCTCCAGAAGAACAGGCCCCCAGTGTGCAAACTGTCTCTTCTTTCCTGGCTGTTCAAAAGCTGGTGGTAATCTGGTTATTCCACCAAATTAAGCAAGCTGGATTGTTGTCACGGCTTTTTCCTGAAGAGGGGCATTTCTATACTATGGTTAATGCTTTTAGTCATGACTTCCATTGCCATAGGAATACTTTTAGTTTCTGGTTTACTTAATTGTATGTTTGAACCCCAGTTGCATAGTTGGAAATTTGTAAAGACTTAGCCTTATATAAATAGTCAGTGCTTTTTTTCTAAAAAAAAAAAAAAAAAAAAAGTGCCGGAACTCACACACGTCATACAACCCGCCTTGCCTACCCTACAAGGTTCCATCCAAAAAAGGTGCCAGAACTCCGTTCTGGGCGTTCTATGAGAAAAAAAGCCCTGTAAATAGTCCTTGACATACAACCACACCTGGGCCCAGATTTTCCACAGCCAAGCAAGATAGTTGTTAAGGGAGTTGCATCCAATGTTACAACCTTTTTTTAACCCTAGTTGTTGACTGAATCCCTGCACTTAAGTGAATCACGTAGTTGTTAAGCAAATCCAGCTTCCCCTATTGACTTTGCTTGTTGGAAGCCAGCTGGGAAGGTCACCCATGTCAATCACATGACCCTGGGACACTGCAACTGTTGGAAACACATGTTGGTTGCCAAGTGCCTGAAGTTTGATCCCATGACCATGGCAATGCTGCAATAGTTAAAAGTTTGAGGACCGGTTGTACAATTTTTTCAGCGGAATTGTAACTTGGCTAAACAAATGTAAACCCTGCAAATAAATAAACAAGCAAATAAAATGCTGGTTAACATGAAGCAGAGTTATCGGAGAGTCAGCCTCATGGAATTCAGTGGCATTCATTTCAGATGAAACATGCAGAAGGGGATGCAACATAAAAACTAGCTGAATTGAGAGATAAACATAACAATGAGATAAACCAGGGGTAGGCAACCTTGGCTCTTTTATGACTCGTGGACTTCAACTTCCAGAATTCCTGAGCCAGCATGGCTCAGCTTGGAAACCTCTCCCTTTCCCCTCAGCATGGCTTGCTCAGGAATTCTGGGAGTTGAAGTCCACGAGTCATAAAAGAGCCAAGGTTGCCTACCCCTGAGATAAACCCTGATTATTAGTGGCCAGCTCTGCTTTTCTTCATTCAGTGCTTTTTCAGAGAGGTAACTTGCAGAATAATTACTTGACTGAGAAAATGAAAACCTGTAAATACAAACGGTTAAGTTCTTTTTCATGTTGTGAGTCAACATAAAAACCACAGTCCTGGATCCACAGCACATTAAATCCAGAGTAAAATAAGTATATCAAGTTGGAGGCCACTGTGACAAGACCTCACCTCTATCGAATGGCACTTTAGATTCACATCTGCTGAACTCGTTCTGTTGGCTTACCTATTTTCTCACACAACAACCCTTCAGCACTATGAGCAAAATACAACTAATCCCACTTAAGAGAGCTTACCAGACAGGGAGAACAAACACAATGATTCCATTTTCAAAGAGCTGGTTGGCAGAAGTCAGAGTAAGGACTGGTGAAGTTCTGGCTGTTAGAAGCATTTCAAAGAGAAGGGGGTTTTGCTGTTTTTTTTTATTTCCTGGGTCACCCGCCCCCCACAAAAGCTGTTTGGGAGAATAGTGGTGGGAAGGGGACTTCTGTGAAATGCCAGGAAAAAACAGCAAGGACTCTCTCTCCATCCCTTTGTTTCTTGCACAAAACCTTACCTTGATCTCAGTGTCCTTCCATTCATACAATCTCCTGGGTGTTTCCTGCTCGTATAAATGATGCTACTGAAGATTCCTACAGATGATTTTTTTTTTTCCTGTGTTCTCCTCTCCTGCCACTGATTGCCATTTATCTTTCTTTAGTTTCCTCATTGCTAAACATCGCGGATGTCAAGTTTTTGATTCTGAGTAGACAAGATCTAAATGTTGTCTCTCTCTCCTTCCCCATCCCATCCTTTCTATTGTTCTACAGGTTTCATTGATTTCATAGTGAAACCGACGTTTGCTCTTCTTACTGACTCCATGGAGAAAATAGTTTTTCCTCTTATAGAGGAAGCATCAAAGTCCGAAAGTCCTACCTTTGTGACAGCACCAAGGTTTGAGGTTTTGGGGTTGTTTGTTTTTTTTCTTGTTTTCCACCTGAACAATTTAAATTTTTCAGAAACTGCAATAACCCTAATGTAGTATTGCCATCTAGTGGCCCATATTTGCAATTGCTACCTATGGTTTGTTGTATTCTACTCAAGGCAGAAGTATGGAAGTCAAAGAGAGAAGATATGTTGCTTACTCTGCTTATTGTAGAGTAGTATGTTTACATATAAGTTGTTTTGTAGAAAATGTTAAAGGAGGGATTGGGACTCGTGTACAATCTCAAGGCTGATTTTTCTAATCCTGAGCAAATTGCAAAAAAAAACAACAACACCTTTTTACTATGTGGATTATTTCCCGTTATTATAATACTATAAACATTGACTTCATATACTTTATCTGTCATCATCTGAAGTCAAAGGTGAATGTTTTGATTTGATAGCATGAAATACATTTAAAATGAACATCTCTGCTCCATTTTAAAGAAGGGGGAAAGGACTAGGCAGGAGTTAGCAGATACCTTAGTTGTTCTAATCCAGTTTATTTAACCTTCAGTGCTATGTATTCTTTCCTGGAAATCACTATCATTGAAATCATTGAGGGTTGTTTTTAAACTAGCCTTTTCCATTTCTAGTCCTCTGGAAATATATAGGAGGGAAACATGTTAGAATGGTTGCTGTAAAATGTGCCTAGGATTACATCACGAGAATGAATGAATTGATCCCAACTTAGTTGAATTCTGCACTCTGAAGTTATGCAACATTTTGGAGTGTACCAAAATTGTGCTGCTTTTGTATTTCCAGGCAGTAATGGCATCTTAATTCTAATCTAACTTTCCCCCCTCTTTGTAGTGAAAATAGTACAGGAAGTACCAGCAGTGATATACACAAAAAGATAAGTATAAAAAATGCCGCATGTGTTGGTGGGACCTGCTCAGAAAACCCTTTGGCAATGGTGGATTTAAGAAGCTTTAAGGACAACTTGTTCCAGACCATACAGGAAAACAAAGACAGGTGGAAAGATTTAGCAGAAAAAGGTAGGTTTTCCCTTGCCAGTTCACCAATAAGTTCATCTTTTATCTGTGTTTATGTTACCTTGGACATACTAGATAACAAGATTTGCTAATGGTCATATGGATGAGAAGGACTGACTTCAATATAGCAATTATTCACTGTATGCACAGTGAAATAGGAACGCTCTTTTTCCCCTTTTTTCCTCTCTTTCTTTTTGCAAAATTGTAGTTAAATCTGCTATTTGTCCAATACTTCAAATGGCTGCATTTATATGTTCAAGCCACTAGATGGTATATATTTACATCTTATATCTTGTACATCAGAAATAGATGGACTTGGAATTGGAATATAGGTTGGACAAATGTGCTGAGAATAAAAAGATATCAATGTAATAGACCCAAATGTATGTTGTTCATTTGGAAAAATTGATCACCTTGCACAGGTATCATGCCAACAATTGGCTGGGTTATGTGTGAAAAGGATTTTGAGATTGGAATGACAAGTTGAATATAAATCAGCTGAATATGCTTTTGGGTGGCCCAAAAAACCAAATGCAATTTAAGCAACATACATAAGAATGTAGTTTTCAAATCACAGTAAGTTAATGTTGCTCCACCTCACCTTGGTTCCTATGCTAGGATTCAAAGAAACTGTAAAAGATGGAAAGAAGGTCAGAAAAGAAGAGGGAATCGGAAACTAATTTTATATGAAGAGAATGAGGGGGACTGAGCAAAGTTACTTCGGGGTGGGAGGACAACTAAGGAGAGAGATGATAGTATTCCTCAATTATTTAAAGGGTATCAGCTGGAAGCAGCCAACAAGACAATATCTGACATCCTAGAATGCATAATAAACTGTGGGAAGGCAGATTCTGATTGAAAATTAGGAAACTTTTCTTACTAGCAAGAGCAATTTGACATTGGAACATTATCAAGTGAGTTGGTAAGATTCTCCTTTGCTAGACCTTTTCCTGGCTAGACAACAGGATCAATCAGCAATGGCTTAAATATCCTGTGCAAATATTATGATTGCCTGCAGTGACATGCAAGGGACCATGTAGGTTTCTGACCCCTGATGGGATAACAATATCAGCTACAATTTTTCTTTTCCCATTCAACACCTTTTAAATTACCCTGCTGTAAGAATACCTCAATTAAACCAATGATTTTTTTTAAACATAAGTCTTGGTAACTCTAATTTGGTTCTGGTAATAGAAGAAAGTCCTGGGCTAAGAATTCTTTAATTGAGGATAACTACCATATTAGGGTTGTGCAGAGTTTTAAAGAAGTGATTCCATTGGGAAAAGAATTTGCTAAAATCAGCTCCTGAATCAAATATTAAAATTGAATCTCTTTAATTAGTCCTTCAAATACTTTCTGGGAGGTTTCAAGGTGGTTTGGAGATCCAATGGACTTTCTGTCTTTGCTGTGTCAAATAATTTTGCAGCTCTCTTTTTTATAAATGGA